CTGTCCCCTCTCCCCCGCTGTCCCCTCTGTCCCCCTGTCCCCTCTCTCCCCTGTCCCCCTGTCCCCTCTCCCCCGCTGTCCCCGGCCATGCCGTCCCCGCTGCCCCCCACTCGGTTGCGGCTGGCGGAGCGCGGGGCGGTGCTGGTGTCCTGCTGTCTGTCCTGTGCGGGGTCTGTGCTGCTGCTCTGCACCCAGGCTCGCTGGCCGGAGCTGCGGACCCGGCCCCGGCAGCTGCTGCTGCAGCTGTCCCTGGCTGACCTGCTCTCGGCCCTGTCCTACTTCTACGGGGTGCTGCGGGACTTCGAGCGCACCTCGTGGGACTGCGTCCTGCAGGGCGCCCTGTCCACCTTCGCCAACACCAGCTCCTTCTTCTGGACCATGGCCATCGCCCTCTACCTGTACCTGAGCATCGTCAGGGGCTCGCCCGCGGGCGAGGCTTTGCTCTGGTGCTTCCACGCCGTGAGGTGGGTGCTGAGAGCTGCCGGGACCCCCGGGCACCCCCAGCCCTCCCCGTGGAGCCTCGCTCGAGTCTCTGTGCTTTCCTCCTCCTTCCCCTCTAATTCCTTGTAAACGGAATTTTGTTGTCTTTTAACGACCCTGCTTGTTCCCCCATTCCCTTCCCGAGTGAAGAGTCGGAGACGTGGAAAAGTTAAAGGTTTCTTGTTCAAGGTCGCTTAGAAAAATCTCTGACAAGTTCTAATGACTGGAAATCCTGGCTTCTGCTTTTCCTCCAGTCTGCTCTGATGTTCTAGAATAACAAACCTTGTGTCTGTGGCACCTGCCTGCTGCTGCCCAAGTGTTTGGGATCTGTTCCCACGGGTCCCCAGCTTCCCCTGCCAGCCTGGTCTGTGGATCCTGCCCCTCTGGCCAGGCAGCATCCTGTAATTCCACACAGGAGAGCGCTGTCCACGAGTGATGAAACTGCTGCAGAAGCGCTCTGAGGGTTGTTTTGGCGTGTTTGATTGAAAGCATGACAAACCAGACCACAGTGTACCTTTATGTCTGTTACTGCTATTTAGGGCACTGATTTTCCACATCATGTTTAGTAAAAGCTTTCATTATGCAATTGGAGCTTGTGGAATCATGTGCTGTGTCCACGCCGAGAAAACAGTGATCCTTTAGTCCCCTGTGTTGCCAAGCTTTTGCAATAAATTATAAGAGGAGTGATCTGGTTTAAAAGGGGGGAAAAAAAGCCCTCAGGACAAGTAGAGAATTTTCTTTGGTTTCTTAGTCCAATATTTGTCACCTTTTAGTTTCAAACAGCATTGTTTGGCAGATGATTGCAGTAGAGCTGAGTCCAGGTGAGGATGGGCCAGAGACACTTTGAGAACTCCAGTTCCTGCCCTACCTGCTGGAATTGCTGAGAGAAGATGCACTGGAGGAGTATTTATGTTATTTCATCTCAAGTAAATAGAGTTGTACTCAGAGCTGTGGTGAGGCCAGGGTGCTGGTAAAGAACATGTTGCTTAATGGAGATAAAAACCCAGCCTGACTCCTTCGTGGCCATTCTGGTTCCACCAGGCACATCAAAGCACTCAGGCAAATCTGGCCTATTTGTAATTTTCCCAACTGCTAATTGCCTGTGTGGCTTTTCCTGTACTTCAGTTTCTCCAGCTGGTTTAATGCTCCTCAGCCTTGTCAGCTACCAGGAGAGGAGAGAAACAGAGTCACTGAAACAGCTCTGGCTGCAATCTGTGCTCCCTCTAAAAACTGTAAAAATCCTGGGAGATTGCTCCAACCCTTGGCACAGAGGGAGAGATGCTCAAACTGAGCTGCTTCTGGCTCAATTTGTTGGGTTTATTTTCAGTTCTTTACAATAAAAATGAAATCCCATCTTGGTATTCATCAGCACCATTTGCTCTTTTTAAAGGCTGTAGAGCACCTGTGAGCAGGTTCTGCTTTGTAAATGCCTCCTGTTCTGTGCAGGGCCAGTTTAAAGCTGCTTCTGCTTTATGATCTGTCTGAAAAGCCAGAGGAAACAAGTGAGGACGTGTTCTCTGCCCATCCCCTCGTGACACATCACCCTGCTTTCCTTCCCTGCACTTCTGTAGTTACCTGAGAAATTAATCTCTGGACATAATGCTTGGAGATGGAGCTGACTAAATACATGTTGGGAGTCGGTATCCGGAATTTTCCTGAGGGAAATCAGGGTGTCCCGGTGGATGAAACCCGTCAGACGGGTTTGTGCCAGGGATTCCTGTGGTAACACATCCACCAGTTCCAGCCTGGAGAGCTGCAGCCTCTGCTTTGCTTTGAAACTTGTTGAGCTCAGAGGAGCTTTGAAAAGAAGCAGCTCTGGAAACTCTTGGCTAGCTGGAACACGTGAGTTGTGGCATCCAGTGTGCAAGAGAGCAGGCTGCCTCTCTGCTTCTGAATTTCCAAGGCTCAGGTATCGGTGGGGGGAAACATCCCCTTTGTTGTGAGAGGAGCTGGTCCAAACTCGGGGTGAGGAATGGCCCAGACAGACAGAACCCACCCTGGAATTGTTTCCTGCTTGGCTTTTGGTACCAATTGCTGACATTTGAAGGGTTTTCATTTCATGATTAGGCTGTGCAGATGTTATAACCATAAATATACTTTATTTTTTAAAAAATCTATAAAATATGCATGCTTATATATTAAAATATATGTTATATATTAAAATATATGATATTTTATATATAAATGTATATATATACATTTAGAACCATGCATAAATATTCATGTCCATGGAGTGCCTGGGTCCTTTCATGCACTGCTGCTCTGTTCACCTCACTGCTTCATGGGCTGCCTCCTGCATGGTTGAGCTGGGTTCAGCCATGTTCAATCAGTTCAATCAATTCAATCAATCACTTCAATCAATTCAATTCAATCGTGGGTTCAATCAATTGAACTGGGCCAGATTTGGAGTTCTGGTTACAATGTGTGCTCACTGCTCCTTCCTGGAGCTGGCTGGGATATCCAGGAGCCCGATTTTCCCGTCCTTGCAGAGCAGAAATTGCTGTCCCCAGAAGGAGCTGTGTGCAGCCCTGCTGGCTCCTCCTTGTCCAACCTGTGCAGGCAGGTGACAGCAAATCCCCTGCTTGTGAGAGCCCCAGGGGGAACAGCAGCTGTGCAGCAGAAATCAAAATGTGCTTATCCAGAACTCTGACCCCAGAAAACCAGGGCAGCTCAAGCTGAACACTGCTGGAGCTGAAGGTCCTCACCCTGCTTTGTTTGGTGTGACTGCAAAGATCCTCTGGGTTGGATGATTTTTTTATTCACGGGTTATCAAGAGCTGTATTGGAGGAATGAGTATTGTTGTGTCTGTCTTACAGGCTGGATTTCCAGCCTTTTTACAGGAAGGAGGAATCATCTTCCCTTCTCTCACTGTTTGCATCCAGGTGTGCTTTGGAGAGGCCCAGCTGACACAAGGGTTCTTTGGGGCTCAGAGGAATATTTCTGCTTCTCTGTTATCCTAGATCCTTTTTATTGCAGTCCTTACACACACCTGGGGTGCTGAGTCCTGATCTGCAGTTCCTCCTCTCCCCTGGTTCAGCACTGGCACTTGGCAGCCCTCCTGAATCTGTCACTTAGGAGCTCTGAAGAAGAACCAAAGCACCAGTCTCAGTTCTCCTTTCCAGCCTGCTGAGATGGAGCTGAAATTCACAGAAATGTCTGATTCCTTCCTAGGTCCTTCCTAATTTCATTTTGTTGGTAATCCCTTTGCTTGGTGTTGGTGGTAAATATCCATCTGATCCCAGAATGCCATTCCAGTGCTAATTCACTTCCCGTTAATGCTGCACTTTTCTTCCACTCTCTCCCTTTCACCAGTTATCTCCTGAAGGTTTTTAAGTCCCTTTCTTAGTGGTGAGTTATTTCCTCCTGTGGTCTCTCTGTGTCTGTACTCACACTGTCCTGTCTGACATCCACACACAGTCATTTGACCTGCCTTTATCTTAATTCTCTTTCAGCTCGATGATGAGATCGTTATTTAGGCAAATTAGTTTCTTAATTCACTTCCTTTTTGTTGGTGCCTTTGTGCCTTAAAATGGTTTTTCTAAGGAAGTTAATTTCTCTTGAATGCTTTCCCTTAGTGCTCAGCTCTCCCAGGGGTGCTGAGAGTGGAATGTCTTTGCATTTGCAGTTCTTTCTGAGAATTCACCAGGTTTACCAAAGTGACTCCTGGATTGTGTGGAAACTTTCTTGGTGGTGGTGACGTTTGGGATGTTTTTAGAAGTCTGCTCTGATAACAGAGTGGGGAGGGCTCCCTGCAGCACAGCTGTCCTTAAATAACACCACTGCCTTGGATTAGCACTGCTTGTTCTGAGCTGAGCCCTGAAACAAAATGTTCTCAACTCTGAAGAGTTGACTCTCAAGTTTTTTACAGCCCTGTATTTATATTTGTTTCTTTTGCTAGTAGGTGAATCCAGACATTATTTAAGAGTAGGTAATGGGGTATTTTTGAAATCCAATATCATGGGACTGTCTCTGATTGGGCTATGGAGTTTCAGATAAAGTTTTGCCTACCTAGTCTGGTGTCTCTGAATTTTGGGGGCAAGATCCTTTCCATGCTCCTGGAGCTGCTCCAGGCTGTCAGTGAAGGCTGTTTGAGAGCAGGACACTTGTGGATTTGTTTTCTGTGTGCTGGGGAGGGCAGGAGGGTTGTGCTGGCAGCTGTCTGAGCCCCTGTCCCTGTCTCTGGGGTGGCTGTGGGAGGGCAGGTGACACATTCAGCTGCATGCAGGGCACTCTGCTGCTGTCATTTTTGTTTGGGCTGCTGGGATTTTTCTGTTCTTCCTCATGGTTTCTTGTGGGCAGCCCAAGCTGCTGAGTGATTTAATTCGGTGTGTCACCACAGTTATTTTTCTTCTAAATGCTTCCCTGTATTTGCCTCTGCTGTCAAGTGAGAAGCCAAAGCCACAGGTCCAAGTTATGTGAATGTGGCTCCTCTTTTCTTTCTCAGCTTTTTGCTGGTACTACCAGTACTTTTTCCTGGCTCTTTGTCCTTCAGAAATTGTATTTTTGCTCCCAAAATATTGACTACACCTCCACTTAAAAGCAAAGAAAGCAAACAAACAAACAAGGCACTGATAGAATGAAGGTGTGGATTTCTTTGTGTGCCGAGTTTCACTTTGGAATCAGGAGGTGGGACTTGGCTGCTTGTGCTCTGAAAGCTCAGCATCAGCTGGCTGGGTCCTGCAGGAAAATCCCATTTTACAATGCCCTGGCCTTGTCAAATCCTCAACCTCTCGGTGTCCAGGAGGGAATGGGAGAAAGGCAGGAGGTGGGCTGGGTCCTGCTGCCCTGGCTGCACCCTGAGCTGTGCAGCCCTGTCACTGTCAGACACCAAATGATTCACACAGACCCAGCTCGAGGTGTGGTGAAAGAAGAACAGTTTATTTGTTCTTTCAGTATTTATAGGTTTCTGACCACGACCAGGGATTGGATAGTCAGGTCACCACCTTCCCAACCACACTGGCTGTGAGAGATGTTCATCACAAGGCATATCTTTAATGGAACGGATAAACTCCTGTGTTTATAGTTACTCCTGGGAAAATGGTTAGAAATTATGAAAACCATATCAAAAGGGCTGATTCTCAGGGCAGCTCAGAGTGCAGCACGTCCCTGACCTCTGCCCTCAGGGCTGGACTCCACATTCCCACAGTGGGTCCCTGGGAGGTGGATTTGCAGTCCTGGGTCGTTCAGTGCCCAACGCCTTTGGGTCACTTCCCCTCAGCCGGTTCAGCAGTGCTGCTGCTCCGGGATAAACGCTGGGTTCCTGCCTGGGGGAGATCCCCTGGCTCTGCCACCCATCTCCTGAGGTGTGGGGGGCTCAGCTGAGGATGTTCTTGCCTTAACCTCATTCTCTGTGTCCCCCCAGCTGGGGTGTCCCCCTGGCCATCACGGTGGCCGCTGTGGCTCTGAAGAAGATCGGCTACGACGCCTCCAACGTTTCTGTGGGCTGGTGCTGGGTGGACCTGGACGCCGAGGATCGGCTCCTGTGGATGCTGCTGACGGGGAAGGTGTGGGAGATCCTGGCCTATGTGACCCTGCCAGTGCTCTACATCCTCATCAGGAAGCACATTAACAGAGCAGTGAGTATTTGCTGGGTGGTTCCATCCCCCGCGCTCTGCGTTTCTCATTGCTCAGCAGCTGCACAGGCAGGGGATGCTCCACGGCTCTGAAATGTCCCCAGCCCCGGGAGAGGCAGTGCCCCGATCCATTAGCACAAGCAGAATGTAAAAGCCCTTTGAAAAGGAGCAGGGCTTGTGGGATGTTCGTGAGGGAAATGCTACAGTCAGAACTGAAACGGAATGTGAAGGACAAACTCAGCTTTAATCAGTTTTCTGCAGTTCCACTTGTACCAAGATTGGAATTCTCCAACCTCATTCCTTTTAGTGTCTCCGATGCCAGTTTGTGTTTATGGATGTTATTCTGTACTGGCAGCTCACAGCTCCGTTTGGGAATCCCGGCACGGGATGGCTTTGGGCACCACACAGGAGATTCCCTGTCCGAGCAGGGGTTTGGGATTCAGAGCTTCGGTGGTTGCTGTTCCTTGTGAACACACAGAATCCATTTGGACAGCATTTGCATAACAGACAAGTCCAGATGAGAGTGGCAGGAGGAGCTGCATGCAGAGATTGCTCTTCTCTCTGAGCTGTGTTAGGGAAAGGAGCCCCACGTGTGGGTTATTTCCTTCTGGAACTTTCTGCCTCTGCTCGTGCTGCTGCTGTGGCGGTGGTGGGGATAAACACAGCCCTGCTCAGGGCAAGGTCCTGCAGATGATCTGGAATAACGAGGCACTTTCCAGCGGGAAGGGAAGGTGCGGGAAGGTGCGGGAAGGGAAGGTGCGGGAAGGGAAGGTGCGGGAAGGGAAGGTGCGGGAAGGGAAGGGAAGGTCTGCAGGTGCCTGTCAGCATCACCAGGCGTGCAGGACACGCTGTCCCAGCCATGGGCAGAGATTGCAGCGTGAGCTCTGCAAACCTGACCTGGCCTGCCGGTGCCTGTGCCCCTGTCCCTGCCTGTGTCCCTGTCTGTGCTGCTGTCCCTGTGTCCCTGTCCCTGTCCCTGTGTCCCTGTCCCTGTGTCCCTGCCCGTGTCCCTGTCGCTGTCCCTGCCGGCTCTGGGGACACGGCCGGAGCTGTGGGGTGTGTCGGTTCTGTCTCTGCGGTTCCGCAGCCCCCGGAGCCTCCCGCGCTGTGCCCGCCTGTCCCCGCAGCAGCGCTGGGCTGTGCAAAGGCGGAGGTGGCGGGTGGTGGCTCTCCTCTGTCCCCTCGGGTCCCAGGGGCTCTCCTCTGTCCCCTCGGGTCCCAGGGGCTCTCCTCTGTCCCCTCGGGTCCCAGGGGCTCCTCTCGCTGCGGGAGAAGCCCCGGGGCCGGCCCTGAGCCCTCTCCATCCTCCCCGAGCAGCGCGCTGCGCTCTCCGAGTACCGCCCCATCCTCCCGGGGACCCCGGCCCTGCGGCCCCGCGCCAGCATCGCCGACACGAAGCTGATCCTCATCCCCGTCATCTTCATCTTCCTCCGCATCTGGAGCACCGTGCGCTTCATCCTGACCCTCTGCGGCTCCCCCGCCGTGCAGAACTCGCTCCTGGTTGTCCTGCACGTGAGTCCTGGGAAACGCCGGAGGAGCGCCCGGGGCTGCCCAGAGCGGGATCGGCACCATGGGCTGGGCAGGGACCCCTGCGGCCCGAGGGACAGCGGGGACAGCGGGGACAGCCCTGCCTGGGACAGCGGGGACAGCGGGGACAGCCCTGCCTGGGACAGCGGGGACAGCAGGGACAGCCCTGCCGGGGACAGCGGGGACAGCAGTGCCAGAAATGCAGCAGTGCCAGAGGTGCAGCAGTGCAGAAGTGCAGCAATGACAGAAATGCAGCACTGCCAGAAGTGCAGCAGGAGCAGTTCCAGCAGCATCTAGTGGCTGCAGAGGAAAGCTGCGCTGGCAGGGATGGACGGGCCCCGCTGCTCCAGGGAAAACAGCTCCGAGGGGAGCTCTGGGTGTCAGATCCCGGCAGGGCTCAGCCTGTCCTGCCCACACCAGCGCCAGCAGCAGCTCCCTGGGTGCTTTTCGGGGGAAAAAGCTCATTTCTCTGAATTCCTTGTTCTCCAAGGCGGTGTCTCAGTCCAGCAGCTGCTGTGACTCGGTGTGTGCCCTTCTCTGGGGGTGTCTGTGGGAGCAGCCCCGGTGATTCCTCGCCTGCCTTGCAGGGGATCGGGAACACGTTCCAAGGAGGAGCCAACTGCATCCTGTTCGTGCTGTGCACACGGGCGGTCCGCGCCCGGCTGCGGTCCCTCCTGTGCTGCGCTCACTGTCACCAGCTGGCCTGGCCTGCCCGGGGGTCCCACGGCTCCTGGCAGCCCCACAAGGACAGGGACAAGGACAGGGACAAGGACAAGGACAACGACAAGGACAAGGACGTGCCCCGCCCCGAGCAGACGAAGCCGCTGCTCTCCAGCACCTGAGCTGCCCCGGCTGCTGCTGATTCCTCTCTTGGTAAAACTCCAGCGTGAGCCTTTGCTCCTGCCCTGTGCACTGAGGGAGGGGTGGGAGCAGTGCCAGCGGGGTTCTGCTGCTGCTCTGGGGTTCCCTGTCTGACTCTGCAGCCCCAAACCATTTATAGAACTGCTCTGCTCCCTTCCCCTGAGCTGTTCCTCGAGGCTGTGAAAGGAGGAACTGGGCTGCAGGGCTGGCTGGCCCACAGGAGCAGGACAGCAGCCAGAACTGAAGAGGAATTGGAGGCTCTTTTCAGTGTGAAATGCCACGTGCGCACACATTTGGTCACTGCACGGATCAGATGTTTGCTGCCCCAGGTTTTGCCCACGAGGGGATGCAGCCCCTGCTGCCCTGAAGTGATTCAATTCACCCAAGCTTGCCTAGGAAGTGTCTGGGAGCAAAACTTGGCCAAAAGCTCCTCATTCCAAGTGCAACACCGGGCACTGATGTCCCTGCACTGGTCTGGTTGTGTGAGCACCTCATGAGCTGCAGAATTTCTGGGGGTGTCAAAGTTCACCCAGGGCAGAGCCCGTGGGGCTGTGTGGGTTTGTGTCTGTGGAGCAGCGATGCAGCTCTGTGTGCCAGAGAGCAGCTGAAGGAGGGGAAACCCAGAGCAGCTGTGCTGGGAGGAGCTGGGATGTGCTGGGGTGAGCTGGGATGTGTTAGGATGTGCTGGGATGTGCTGGGATGTGCTGGGATGCACTGGGGTGAGCTGGGATGTGCTGGGATGCGCTGGGATGAGCTGGGGTGAGCTGGGGTGAGCTGGGGTGAGCTGGGGTGAGCTGGGATGAGCTGGGATGAGCTGGGATGTGCTGGGATGCGCTGGGATGTGCTGGGATGCGCTGGGATGTGCTGGGGTGAGCTGGGATGTGCTGAGATGCACTGGGGTGGGCTG